ATGTATGTATGTATGTGTGTGTGTATGTATTTATGTATGTATTTATGTATGTATTTATGTATGTATTTATGTATGTATTTATGTATGTATGTATGTATGTATGTATGTATGTATGTATGTATGTATGTATGTATGTATGTATGTATGTATGTATGTATGTATGTATGTATGTGTGTGTGTGTATGTATGTATGTATGTATGTATGTATGTATGTATGTATGTATGTATGTATGTATGTATGTATGTATGTATGTATGTATGTATGTATGTATGTATGTATGTATGTATGTATGTATGTATGTATACGTATGTATGTAAAAGTGTGTATGTATGTGTTTTCTCTGTGGCTCTCGACCCATGGTACCATGTATACATGTTAACACACTTGTATAGACTAGTCGGCAGTTGATCTGTCATGTGATTACTGCTTTTGTCCACTGGATCGACCTGCAAGTCCAAGTGAATCACAAAAAAGTGCCCAGCAGGACAGAGTTTTGAAAGCAAGCCTGAACACCGTGAGTGTGTCGGGAACCAGACGGGAGCCACGGGGCGTAGACGAAGCAACAACAGCTACAGGGACTCCCATCAGACGACAGGTTTCCTTCTGGCGACAGACCTACAGATCGATGGATGACCTGAATGAACAGCTGAAAACCTATAAGGCCTGCAGCTAAAATGGCCGTAGTCTAATGAGACCTGCAGATATAGCACAACCAGTCATCTGCAGTCTTAGGCGGTTTTAAACTTTAAGACATACAACAGTGCACAACCAACGACCTACAATGGGTGTATCCTAATAAGACCTGAGACATAGCACACCAACGGCCTGCAATTTGCTAATCAGACCTGCAAGCAGATATAGCACAATCAATGACCTGAAGTCTAACACGGTTATACACTTCAAGACATACAACAGTGCACAACCAACGACCTACAATGGGTGTATCCTAATAAGACCTGAGACATAGCACACCAACGGCCTGCAATTTGCTAATCAGACCTGCAAGCAGATATAGCACAATCAATGACCTGAAGTCTAACACGGTTATACACTTCAAGACATAACTAAGAGCATAACAAACGACTCAGTATAGTTGTAACCTAATAAGACCTGATATGTAGCACAACCAACACCCCGCAATATGCAATAGCTGTAATTTGATCATTCCTGCTAACAGATATAGCACAATCAATTAACAATAGCTGTAATTTAATCATTCCTGCAAACAGATATAGCACAATCAATTAACAATAGCTGTAATTTAATCATTCCTGCAAACAGATATAGCACAATCAATTAACAATAGCTGTAATTTAATCATTCCTGCTAACAGATATAGCACAATCAATTAACAATAGCTGTAATTTAATCATTCCTGCTAACAGATATAGCACAATCAATTAACAATAGCTGTAATTTAATCATTCCTGCAAACAGATATAGCACAATCAATTAACAATAGCTGTAATTTAATCATTCCTGCAAACAGATATAGCACAATCAACGACCTGAAGTCTACAAGAGTTGTAACCTAATCAAACTTGGAGATACAACACACCCTATGATGATGATAAAAAAAGTTGATGATAATTGGCTCCTTTTCTTCCAGACGATAGTGTAATATTGGACTATGGGTAGTGTAATTATCATTACATTTCTTCACGAAATTAATAAGCTAGTAGAAAGAAAGCCGGCACCCCGGCATTGCGAAGTGTTCGCATCGACTTAGCCACAGAGCCGACAGCTAGATAAGACAACTGCAATTTATACCACACGCTAGATAACATACGTGACAGGAAGTTAAGGGCATTTGGAAGGATGCAATTTAGTATTTTGGCTGTTTAACTAGATATAGCGCACCTTATTTAAGCTATTAATTTTTGTATAGCCCTCTAAAATTATGAATATTCAAAATGCCCTTGGCTGAAACGAAGATTCCACGTCTCTTCCTGATGGGATACCTCTCAACGCTGTTAACCCCCCCCCCCCCCCCCCCCCCCCAAAAAAAAAAACCGTATCGTATTCGTACCCTGGACACGATAACTTTACCGAGCAGTTCTGTCAGACTGACACGACTAAAACCACCTACATTAACCCAAACAGACCTTTCACGCTGACATTAAGAGCCCTTGTTCCTAGGGGGAAGGTTATCTGTAGAACCTTCTTATCCTTGCAGCCAACAATAAACCCAGGGACAGGCAGGCACAGCTTGGCCTTTAAACCAGGTAGTCCAGGTTTCCAGCCGGTTTCATAACACTTTTCCATGAGACCACTCCATCTTATCTACGTTTAATAATCCGGAAAATATGGCGTCGAAATTGCAATAGGTAAAAGATGCCATTAACGAGATTGTAAAATGTTTACAATTTGTCAAAATCCATTTTTAAAGGAAATGACACTCCGGCAGTTTCACAATGGGTGAAAATCTTATGGTACCATAATATGAGGTTTGGTTTCAGTCTACAATACATTCTTGTGAATATCATGCGCCTTGCCACTGGGAAGTATGATTTTTTTTATAGCTCACTTTCCGGTTAAATATGATATTAATTATGAAATTATAATAACAGTGGCGATTTTCAGTCGAAACCCACAAAATGAAAGGAAAAAAGCAGATGGCAAAGGATGGGAGTTCTTGGTGTGATTTGGCTTATTCTGCATCAACAATTAACAGAATATGTAGTAGTAGTAGTAGTAGTAGTAGTAGTAGTAGTAGTAGCAGCAGCAGCAGTAGTAGTAGTAGTAGTAGTAGTAGTAGTAGTAGTAGTAGTAGTAGTAGTAGTAGTAGTAGTAGTAGTAGTAGTAGTAATAGTAGTAGTAGTAGTAGTAGCAGCAGCAGTAGTAGTAGAAGAGGAAGAAGAAGAAGAAGAAGAAGAAGAAGAAGAAGAAGAAGAAGAAGAAGAAGAAGAAGAAGAAGAAGAAGAAGAAGAAGAAGAAGAAGAAGAAAATAAAGAAGAAGAAGAAGAAGAAAATAAAGAAGAAGAAGAAGATGAAGCAGAAGAAGAAGAAGAAGAAGAAGAACAAGAAAAGAAGACCCCATTCATTCCTTGACAAGGAAAAGACTGAAGCAAAGAATTCCATATTTATTCAGTTAAGAGTTGCATTTGCACGACCAAACCATCCCGTGTCGGCCAAGGTACAAGATTCGTGCTTTGGACCACAAAAAGTTGGCAACGAACGAGAGGACACCAACTCTCAGAAGGGAATGTTTATAATGAGTGGACAAACGGCTTGACTTTCCCTTGTATTTTAGAAAGGCAAATCGCCCCAAGTTGACTGAACGCACACAGTTCAAGGATTCCTTGTTCAGAAAACTTTCAAAAGGCAGAAAGCACAAACAAATATGGCGCGATCAGTCGGACATTGACGTCTGCACTGTGATTGATGTCTAGAGTCTGCTAAAGACGTCTTGTGTTTAGATATTGAGAATATGTTCACGATGATGATACTATGATGTCTAGTGTCAGCTTAAGACCTTTATAATAAATAAGATGCCTCAGGTCTGCTAAAGACGATGGTACTGTAGTGTCAACAGTGTACTAGAGTTCGTCGATACTTCTCGTTCACCGGTTGAAAACTCTGACGAAAAGTTATGGCTGTGCGTCCACTTCTGGACTTTCGTCTTTTTCCAGAACAGGACTTTTGCGTGCACATCCGTTTTTCAGATGCGATTCAGAATGTTGGTTCCTCGTCTCTCAGGCAGATCACTTCGACACCTATTTATTCCACTTTTACGGTATGCTTTTAGATGACAGTGGGTCTTTATCTTTTCTACAATGGGACACCGAAACAGACACAGGGAGCTGATCGATTCACATTTTTATAATCCCTGCGTCTAACATAGGCTTGACTTAGGTGACATCTTCCAGTCACAAAGAATTATAAACAGACCTATTTGTATATATGATATGAAGCTGATTATGTGTGTGTGTATGCATGTATGCATGCATGCATGCATGTATGTATGTATGTATGTATGTATGTATGTATGTATGTATGTATGTATGTATGTATGTATGTATGTATGTATGTATGTATGTATGTATGTATGTATGTATGTATGTATGTATGTATGTATGTATGTATGTATGTATGTATGTATGTATGTATACATGCGTATGTGTGCGTGAATATAAGTGTCAGTGCATGCCGCTTCTCTCCTCCCAACTGCTACGTTAGGATTTTGCAATATGGCATTACAAAATCTTAGTCCGAATGGCAGGCTAACAGGGCAGATTTCAGGTACCCTCTTGAATCTCCAAAGAAATTATAGCTGGGGCCACACCTAGCTGGTGTAACCTAGTCCAGCGCGGGTAAGATATTATAATACACGTGTGAGTGGAGCATGCTGGGTGCACTGTTACTGCTGGCGCCTTTCCGTCTGGCAAGACGACAGTGTTATATTGTGCTACGCAGAGGGATTGGACTCACAGCCCATAGCGATTGCGAGTTCCTTCCCTCCATAGCACAAAGCCTGGGCAGCACTGCAGAGACCATAAGTTGCGCATGGCTCATGGTCACTCACTGAGCCTACCTTGTTTATTACAAAGGAAAAGTTAGACCAGTAGGTTTGGAACAGAGCAGACTGCTGCAGAAGCTGCCAGATCAGAGGAGCTCTGCTCTGTCTGTTTGTCTGTCAGAGCCTCCTTAACAGACCAGCTGCCAGCCAGGACTAAGTGCCTAATCTGCCTTGCCACAATATACCGTTTTCAGATTGCATTTGCTCTTAAGATAAGGCTAGTATCCACCCCCGATGCGCTCCACCGTCCGAATCAGTTGGCGTAATGGGGGATGTCAGGTTTGTTATACATGCAGTGTATATAGCCAGACGAAGTGGCTGCCACAAATATGAGTGATTTAACTATCTAACAGCAGTAGGACCCATAGACTGTGGTGGAATAAATGCAGACATACAGACGGTAGACAGTTGCACGGATAGACAAACGACTGTGAAAATCTCAGACAAATTCAACCACAACGAGTATAACTAGCATCATACCTGGACAGCGCTGTTGACAAAACAATTGTTCTCCCCGGGTGCATTATGCAGTCCCTTGGTGGCCGTAGAAAACGCGATACTGTTGTGTCTATCCCATGTATCGAAGTAGGTGTTCTGGCAATCCTGGGGCAGGAGATAGTCCAACTCATCGGCTTCCATTGTAGTGTATCTAACTCATCAACACGCCACGATTAAAAAAAAAAATATTTAACACAGGGCAGGTATGCTTTCACCTCATTCAGTTGACACGATTATTATATCTGAACCGGGTATTACGTAACATGAGATGAATATCTAGTACTAACGCGATACTTCATGTTGAAACAATAACATGGAGATATGTAATTAAGACACAACCATCTTAGTATGTTCAAAGTAGTTAAATCCCTTCCAACTGCTATAGATGGAAGGTGTGGATGTGTTTAAGCTGATCGTAGGACTGGATTCTGATCTACAGGCTGACTTCAAGCCTGATGCTGACTCATTTAACAGTATTTGACCCTGATGATATCAAATAGTACACTTATCGAAAATATCACCAGTTATTTATTATCGTTACACTCCGAAACAGCTAGAAATATAACATGGACACTGTAAAAATGCGACTCTCAATTATAACGAAATAATGTCCAGTGGCTACTCCCGTAGGTTATACAGAAGTGGCCGATGCTGTGTTTAAATAGTGTTGTCACAGCAAAGTAACGTTGGCCGGATACAGATGGTGACTTGGGGGAACCTCTGCGAAAAGTACGAAATGATGTGGTTGTATTTCGTACACTATGGCGTTGTAAAAGATTCTTCTGGCCTGCAAAGAGAGAAGACATACACGTCATTATGTAAATGTATGCATTTGTAAAACAAGAGTTAGAATCAATATAGGAGATACGGGTTACTATTACTATGTAAATGAATCAGTAAAACAACAGTCACGTGCAGTCGAAACACAACACATGAGCCATTATGTAGACGTGTCTATAAGTAAAAAAATAATGGTTTGGGGTGGGGGTGGGGGAGACAAACGGTTATGCAAATATGTGCATTATTAAATTAATTGGTAGAAAAAATGAGCTTGTTTTGAAGGCAGTTTTAAAAACAGTTCATGGGGCTTTTATAATACCCTAACCCAAACAGGGGAAATCCACAGGTCACGGGACAGTCTAATATTTCAGGGAGTGGTAGGGTGGCTGGATGCAGTCATAAGACCTAGGCTGCACGCTCTCGTGGGACGTAGGCAGGTTGGGGTTAGGGCCAGTTCCAGATTTCTTTATGTTAACAGCATCAGAAAGCCGGGAAACGCAGTTTTACCGTCCTCTAAAATGTATGACTGTCCTGTTACGTCATCTGAGGTAGGATATAATGAAAGAACCCAGTTCATAACCTTAGATCGTTCTATTGGTTCTGGGGCCATATTTCAGATCGGGGAGGGGAGGGGGGGGGGGGGTTGGAAGAGGCGGGACAGGGCTCGAAGAAGCCTACTGCTCTTCAACAAGCACTCAGTAAAAGGAGACTAATCAATAGTTTTCTGAAATCCCCGAAAGCTGCAGACATGTCGGCCCGAAAGCTGCAGATACGTCGACCCGAAATTGCAGACATGTCGGCCCGAAAGCTGCAGATACGTCGACCCGAAATTGCAGACATGTCGGCCCGAAACTGCAGACATGTCGGCCCGAAAGCTGCAGACATGTCTGCCCGAAAGTTGCAGACAAAGCAGCCCACCTGTAAATTATAACACAGCCACTTTTTTTCAAAGGGTGACCACAGCAGCAGCAGAAGTCGAAGAAAGAGAAGAGGAGAAGGGGGAGGAAGGAGCGGTTTAATTCCTTTTTTTTTTAACAGCTCCCGATACTTAAAAAGGACATCATAATCATCATCATGTAGCAGGTTCTTTGCAGACCGTCGGTCTCATCACGGTCTGCCTGAAAGAAACTCGGTCTCTCGCCAGCTCTCCCGCCTCGTGTACTTTCATTTTCAAGGAGTCGCTTATTATACTGTGCCCATCTTCTTGTTAGTCGGTCCCTGTCTACTTCCGCCATAGTGTTGCCACCAATAATGAGTGGTTTATAGCTGTCACAAGTCTGGTCATTTTTGACATTTTCCATTGTGTTTTTTGCACATATCTTGAATAGGTATGGCGAGAGAATTCACCCCGGCCTCGCTTTCTTTTGCAGCTCGAATCAGTCCGATGTTTCACCAGCTGTTCTGATGGCTGCTTGTTATTCATGTTATAAGTTGTCAATTAAATGTAAAAAATGAGCTGTAAACCCAATACTTTTCATAATAAAATACAAACAAACATATTTATCCAGCAATCATTGCTTTTTTTCCCTGTCTAGATGCAACAAACACAAGAGACGAGAAGCATTCCGCACCGGCGGTCACCCCTTTCCCAACCACCAGTCTGGAATAATTTGTTGCGTGACGTCTGGTATTTAACTCCGCAATCCACACAGCGCCATTCGTACTGGTGACAGATTAAGCGGCTTATCAGTTATTTTTGTGGGTGAATGCCAGTACTTTACACATTTTGTTCATTGTCATGTCTTTCTCTATTTGTCTTCTGAAAACCATGGCGGCGCGGGCATACTTTCAGTTCTTCATCTTTGTCTTCTTTTTCTTAGCGTTCACCTGCTTTAAACTCTAGGGGAAACTTCTGGCTGTTCGTCCACTTCCGAGTTTTAGTCTTGTTCCAGAAACCTGAATTTTGAGTGACACGTCCAGGGCCTAGTTGTGTGGAAAAGAAGAACTGCCTCTCCATTGAACACGTAGTAGAAGTCAATAATTGGGGGTTTTCTTCGAAGTGTATCTGCCTGAAAGACAAGGAACTAACAGCCTGCATACAAATAAGCTAGATCTGCACTAAAAAGGATGTGCATGCAACACTCAGGTTCTGGAACAAGACTAAGAGTCCCGAGATGGACGAACAACCAGAAATTTCAAAGGGAGTTTAGGGCCGGTAAATGCGAAGAAGTAGAATATCGTGATGTCTAAGCCACATGCCTGGGGCGGCACAAGAGCAGTGATTCATCTGATCTTGTAGAGTGAGAATCATGACCGACTGTTTATCGGCGTGGCACACGATGCTGATATTTGAAAAGAGAGATTGTCCCTGAAAAAGGGGCGCGGTGCGCAAAAAGCGTTTAAGAACATATGAGCTACAGTGACGTTTTAACAGCAGTCTGAAAATAGGCTTCGCAAACATTGCATGTATTGTATGTATGTACTGAAAGATTTACAGTCCTGTTGATACAGACCGTTAAGAGGTGTCCCAGCTGGGCCTACCGGTTCCTAGTTGGGTTGGAAATCAAAGGAGACCGTTTTGACATGTCAACTTGTTTTTCATGGCCTACCTGGATACCGGTGGGACTGGGAGAGGGGGCGGGGGAGATACAGATATGTACAGCGGCGTAGTCGTTTGGGTACTAATCAAAGAAAATGGGCTATCCTCTGAAAAAACGGTCCCAAATTATCGAGGCCGAAAATATACCCTAACAAGGCCTCAGTCACATGTAAATTGCGAACTTCCGGCGACTACCGCCACCGCCGAGAGTATCTCCCACGCAGCGGCGTGGAGCCGGGTTAAACTAGTTGGCTGGGACTCACGAGCAAATAAAATGAAGAAAGCTGCAGGAGATGCGGTAGCTGCTGCTCGTGAGTCCCAGTCCTCTAGTTTAGCCGCGCGTAGCGGCGTGGGAGATACTCTCGGCGGTGGCGGTAGTCGCCGGAAGTTCGTAATTTACATATGACTGAGGCCCTGTTATGGTATATTTTCGGCCTCGATAATTTGGGACCGTTATTCGGAGGATGGCCGAATACTGTATACAGATAGATGCACAACATAGTGCGAATGTCTCTTCTTCAGTCATGGTTCATGGTAGAAGTAAAATCCCCTGTTACAAAGATATGTTAGGCATCTGCTTCTTCATCTTCGTATTCACAGGCTGTAAACTGCTGCAGAAAGTTCTGGTTGTTCGTCCACCTCTGGACTTTAGTCTTGTTCTAGAACCTAGGCATTGCGTGCAAGTCCGTTTTACAGAACTGACTGTGTATGCAGATAGTTGGTTCCTTGCCTCCGGCAGGTTATCCTAACTTCGCAGGAAGCCCCCAGTTAGTCGACTCTTACGACATGCTTGTTGAGGAGGCAGTGGGTCTATTCTTGTCCCTACAATGGGGCCCCGGAACCCACATAGAGAATATAAATGGAAGATGATAAAAAACATCACTAGACAAGCATGGACGGAGGAAACGAAGATATCTTCTCTTTCGTCTTTTCGTTCACCGGCTATAAACTCCAGCGGAAAGTTTTTGTTGTTCGTCCACTTCTGGACTTTAGTCTTGTTAAAAAAACCTGAGTTTTGCGTGCACATCTGTTTTATAATTCTGGCTTTTTAATGCAGACTTGTGGTTCCTCGCCTCTCAGGTAGATGCACTCCGACTTCGAAGGAGACATTACTAATTAGTCGGTGACGAACAGGATTCTATAGTTAGGAACTGGATTCTATAGTGACGAACTGGATTCTATAGTGAGGACTGGATCCTATAGGATCGAACTGAATTCTATAGTGAGGAACTGGATTCCCTAGTGACGAACTAGATTCTATAGTGGCGAACTGGATTCTATAGTGACGAACTGGATTCTATAGTGACGAACTGGTTTCAATACAGGATATCGAAAACACAAAGGGGGAAGGGGAGCCATGTAACGTTTAATTGGAAGAGGATGACGTTCCTGATGATGAATGGTGCGTTTTAAAAGTGATGGTAAAAATTGCTTAATTATGTTTGGGTACATCGGCGCTCCACGTGTCTTTGTTCAATATCCCATGCGGCAGCTTCAATGTCCAGAGCATTTTCTGGTAGGTCATCTTGTTAAATCAGATCTACAGGGGAAAGATCACTGACTCGCCCTCAATGAGAGTTCGAACGCGTGGCCAAGAACCACCATGCAGGGATGTTTGCGGCTTTCCACTACGCTATTCTTGTCCATCAATAGTTTGTATGATGCATCGGCCCCTAGTCATTACTGACTGCTTCTCTCTATTTATATTAAACCATCAAGTGTTTTGCTTAACAGTTGTGGGGAATCAGTGTTGATCATCTCATAGCTCAACGTGTCGTATGAGGTGTGTGTTTCTTTCTTTTGCCTCAAACATATGATGAAG